TACTTTGTCATTTTTTCAAAGGAAGAGGTGACTCTGCCTGTCACTTTTCTCAGTCACAGAATAGCCCAGGTTAGAAAAGACTTTAAAGATCATAAAAGCCAACTGCAACCTAACCATGCTACCCTAACAGCCCACTCCTAAATCATGTCCCTGAGAACCACATTCAGAGGGCATTTAAATACATTCAGGGATGATGACTCACACTTGAGAAATTCAAAGAGCTCCATTTCAGTCTTGCAAAAACTTTAACTCTTGTTGTCCTTTTACAGGCCCAGCGTCTCCCATTTCTTCACAGCTCAAATATGGCACTGGATACTCTGAGGGGAAATGATGAATGCATCGGTTTTGAGGATATTCTTAATGGTATATACATAGTTTTGAATATTATAGAAACATTTAAAGGTGAAATTTAGGAACTGTATAGCTCCTTGCCACTAGGGAATAAGACCTTTAAAGGCACAAACTGGAAATAAAAAAATTGAGTTCCAAAAGGCAAAGAAGCACCTGGGAAAGATGAATAGGTGTGATTCGGCTGCTAGTTGCATGGAATTTAATCTGCAATGCTAAGTAAGTCTGTATTTGCTTTTGGGCAGGTTTCATGAGGAGCTGAAGATTATGCTCTTACACTGTATGTCTGTTTCCCCAGAAATTTTAAAACTAATTTCACAGATTTTGAAAGGCAGAGGTTACAAAGATATGATTTTTATAAGTGCTATAATTAGAAACAAAGGCCAGAGGACAAAGTCATTAATATGCCTTACTTATGGGAGAAAAACAGTCCAATACAGCTGTATTCGACCTTTCTTCCAAGATGCATTTGCAGCCTTTTTTTTTTTTTTTTTTGACATTGACTTTTGTATGGAAGTGAAGTTCATACTGTCAGTGACTGGTATAGCTTGTGTTTCCCACATGTTCCTGGATGGTCTTTCAATACAGCAGCCAATATGAGCCATACTTAGGGCAAGGGAGGCATCTCAGAAGATAGCAAAGGGCGTAGGATTTTTGTGAAACAAGGCAGTAGGTTGGAGAAAAGAACACGAGCATGTTCCAGCTAGCAGAAGGGCTGAATGATGAGCTCCTCTTGTGCTAGATGCTAAAGAAAAGTTGCATTGAAAAGATGTATGGGACCCATGGGAGAAGCTATGGTCAGGCTTGCATTTTATTAGATACAAATCTCATTTGGCCATTCCAGGATGTTGTGCTTTTGTAAAACTACTTGGTTTTACTTGAGCAGTTCCCTTCTGCCCCCTTACAAAACACTCATATCACTGTTCCACTGTAGGTGTACTGGTTATCTGATTGTTGCTTTGGACAGAGGTGCACTGTGCAGCACTGTCAGGAATCAATTGAGTGATTTTTGCACTAAGCATTAAAATGAAAAAAATAAATATGGTCATCTTCATAGTTCTTTTTGGTCTTTGTAGCTTGGTAAAAGCCTAATGCTTTTGACTTTTTTTTTCAGATCCTTCACAAAGTGAAGTTATGGGAGAGCCCCACATGATGATGGAATACAAACTTGGTTTATTGTAACAAAATGTACTCCAAGATGTTTTGTGTATGTCTTTATACTGCAGATCTAAATATGTGATCACTAAATTGACACTCAGTGTTAAACAGTCATGCATATATCATTTGCCTTCCTTGGTGAAAGGGCACATTAAATGTTTGAAGTCCATACATTGTTCTGTGCTTGTTGTCAATTATATAAATGTCCTGTAACTAGACAGCTTAAATAATGTCTCTTCATACACTGCTCAGGATAACAGTCTCTTAGTTATGGAAATGCTGTACGTGTGTACAAGAAATCTGAGAAGTACCCATGCATTTTAAAGGTGATTCTTTTAGGTAAATGCATTTAATGGATGTTCTTGCAGAAGAACTTTTTAAGGTGGAAACAAAGATGTTTTCCATTGAGTAATGCTTTGTTCATGAAAACTTCCATACACTTTTTTAAGCATTGAATAAAAGTTTGCTATAAATGCTGTTGTGTTCCAAAATATAATTAATTGTGAATCATGGATCTCTTATCCGCAACACAAAGTGTTGTTACTTTTTCTTGCCATTACTTTAAAGATCTTTAATTTCTGCACTGCCAGTGGAATCCTGCTGCATGCATTTCCTCCCTCTTGTTAAGGCAGCTGGAGTGGTTTGGCACTGTAGGCAACCAAGAGAATAACCAGACAGACTTTTCCAGTCTTTACTGTACTGCTTGTGATGGACAGACACTGTATGTCTGTGACAACCCCCTCTGTGTTTTTACTAATTGGACAAAAGGGGTTGTGGTTCAAAATGGCTAATCTCTTGTCATCTGCAGGGAGTGTGAAACAATACTTCTAAGGCAGGAATTATATTTATCCAGCAGATTAATATTGCTCTTAAGTAAAGTGCTGAGTGCACTGTTATAGATGATGTTAGCAGAAATGAGAAATGTTGTAGAAACCTGTTCACAGTCCCAGAACCTCAAGCATCTGTTGGGCTTTTCAGTATGCTTAAAACTGCCATAAACACTTTACCCATATGCACTACAGCCTCTAGCTGTCTTCATGTAAATTTCATGGTGCTCTTACGCATATTTATTGCAAAATGTTGCAGCAAATTAAAAACACTGAGATGACAAGATACTTTATTGGTTGTTCTGTTGTTTTTTTAAGAAACTTAAAATTGCCTTCTAAGAGTTGGAGAGATCTGAGGTTTTCTACTGAAGTAAAAATTAAGCCCTCAGTTGTATTTGTTGCCTCAGTGAGGTTATACGCAAGGACTAATAAATTTAACATGAAAGCATAGACCTACTCGATGTTTTATGTAGCTGTTCTTTCTGTGAGCTGCTATACTTGAAATTAGCAGGAAACGCTGCTCATGTTCAATAAAAGTGAAATTTCTTAGTGGATATGTCTAAAGCAAGAGCAAGCTTTGTAGAGCAAGTAGGTTGGGTTTCACTAGACTTTGTGTTGTGGTAGGCTCAGGACAGGGTGAGATCAAGCCATATTCAGAGCAGGCAAGTTGCATTGTTCATCATGTCTGTAAGGATGCTAATTTTATGAGTCAGCCAGGCTGGAAAGCAAATGGTATGAAGCGTGTACAAGATTTTACGTGGTATGTTGTTAACGTAATGGGAGTCAAACAGAGGCAAAGAGCTTTTGGGATTAAAAGGAAGTGTTACTACTAAATTGGTTGAGGTGGAAGCTGGTCTTTCTGGCCCAGCCCCTTCTCCCTGTCTCTCCAGGCTTCTTTCTGTGAGGCTGCAAGCAGCAGCCCACAGGCATAGCCTGATCAGGGGCGTGCCATGTGAGGTGTGCAGCTGGCTGGCTCAGCCCTGCTGCTAGGACTCATCTGGGGCTCAGCCTGGGCCGTGGGAGGAAGGTGCTCTCAAGTGCATGCAGCACTGCAGCTCCTTCACTGACCTGTGGCTCACAGCAGTGTTTCATCTGTTCTGCAGTTCCTCACCTCCTGTTGGTGCTGATGTTCTGGGCAGCATCCCTTCCTCTCCCCCAGCACAGGAGGGAAGCAAAATCACATCTTCCTGCACTGCAGTTTGTTTGCTATGACTGCACAAACAGACAATAATGTATCACTGCTGTGTGCTGTTGCATAAGTGTTACTCTACCAGTCGTCCCGTTGGCCATTTGCCAAAAGCCTCGTCAAGAACTACAAACACAACACAGATTTTAGAGCAAATTTCACTATTAATTTCTGTTCAAATAATCTGTATTTACATACAAATAAATCAACTGCTACATACTTGAATATAAAGCACATTAGTACCTGGTTTCCTCAACATTTTCAATGCTAGGCACTTTAAAAACACAAATCGTACCCTTCATGTGTTTTGGCTGAAACGTAGCAATCCCACACAATGTGTCTACCTGAAATATTTTGTAAACAGCAAATACTTGGTACAGCAACATCAAACCTTACCAAAGCCACTCCCCAAGTGCACGTGCACCTTCTCATTCCCAGCAGAGTGCAGCTGCAGAACTGCCTTGCTACCTGCACTGAAGAAGTGAAGCCATATACCTGTTTTTTTTTCACTTCCTGGCAGTTTTCTGTGCAATAGTTAATTTCATGAACACTTAGAAAACTGCATAATGAAGAGGAAAGGAAGACAGCGTAGTCTTTGTGCTGAAACTCTTTACATCAGTGTATCCTTAATGTCTCTACAGGTACTTGTTAAGTTTTGGAGCCAGTGATTACTGTAAAAATCATCTTGCTTCTCCTACAAGTTGGCAGCAACTTGGGCACCTCAGGGGTGAAGAGTTACAGAGTTGTATTTACTGGCTAGTGTATAAACTAGCTAGGAAAAGCTAATGACCTTTAATTGCCAAATTAAGTTTTGGTTCATGAGGACAGAAGCAAAATACTCATCTATATTAGTTAGCATTTCCTCTCCTGGAGAAATGTAACTGTCTTCATAGAATCACAGAATGGCCTGAGTTGAAAAGGACCTCAATGTTCATCTAGTTTCAACCCCTTGCTATGTGCAGGGTCGCCAACCACCAGACCAGGCTGCCCAGAGCCACATCCAGCCTGGCCTTGAATGCCTCCAGGGATGGGGCATCCACAGCCTCCTTGGGCAACCTGTTCCAGAGTGTCATCACCCTCTGGGTGAAAAACTTCCTCCTAATATCTAACCTGAACCTCCCCTGTCTCAGTCTAAAACCACTCCCCCTTGTTCTATCACTATCAACCCTCAGCCATTCCCCTTCCCCTATGTATGTGCTCCCTTCGAGTACTGGAAGGTCACAATGAGGTCTCCTCAGAGCCTTTTCTTCTCCAAGCTAAATAAGCTTAGTTCCCTCAGCCTTTCCTCAGAGGAGAGGTGCTCCAGCCCTCTGATCATCTTAGTGCCCTCCTCTGGACCTGCTCCAAGAGCTCCACGTCCTTCCACATCATTTTCCCCACTGACAGGCAGTAGTGATCTTTTCTCTCAGAGTGGTGAGGCACCGGCTCAGGCTGCCCAGAGAGCTGTGGGTGCCCCATCCCTGCAGGCACCCAAGGCCAGGCTGGATGCAGTCCTGGATGGCCTGAGCTGCTGGGAGGTGTCCCTGCCCATGGCAGGGGCTGGGGCTGGGTGGGCTGTAAGCTCCATTCCAACTCAACCCATTTTTTTGTTGTGTGATTCTATGGACTGCCAGACAGTGCCAACTTCACTCTACCTTATTTGACCATTCAGTCTTCTCATTGGTCAAGATACACATCATGAAAACAACACTGCCTTTCAAACAAAAAGGATCCATGATAGCATTGCTATGACGTACTAATATTTTTTGGCAGAGTGCCACTGAGGAGCTCTGCAGAAGTATTCTTGGCAATAACAATCTGTCTCCTGATACATTTTGATTTTTCTAACTATTCCTTTTTGGGGAAGATAGTCACATACAACTTATCTCTCCTTTCAGGGATCAGGACAATTCTGGCTATAAAACTCTCTCGTAAAATAACACATGGGAGTGATCTTTCACAGGGTGTTTATTCCCACTTTTTATTATTCCCACTTCTGCTATGCTACGCATTCCAAAAGCTAATACTCTGGCTACTTTCTGCCTATAGATCTCAAGGAAAAAGCTGAAGAATCAACACAAAAACTGATTTCTAGGTTTAGAGCTCTTCATGATTTGCACAGTTGCCCAGGGCAAGTCACTTCTCCTCTCTGTTGATTTCTGTTTCTCTGAAACAGAAAGGATAACATCTATTGTAGAGGGAAGTTCCCAGCAGCATTTGTAAAGTGCTTTGAAGATTAGAAATGTTATTTAAGTGCAAATAAATTACACTGCATTCACTGTAAGATGCTTAGATGCATAGTTCAGATTTGGTCACCTCATTTCAGAATTAATAGAAAAAGTATTTGAAGTTCCACTGAATAAAAAGCTGTTACAGTCTTTCATTAGAAATATAAAGTAAGTTCAGTGCTGCCAGCTTAACTGGAAAACAAGAAAAATTCATGGGACAAAACACAGAGGTGTTTTTATGTAGTCTCTAATATATGAAAAAAAATCATAAAAGATTTATAATTTAAAAATAAATGTGCAATATGGCCTCTGCAAAATGTAGGCACGGGCCTAACTTCACACTCTACAGGCTGGAAATTTCCTAAGTGTGAAAATCCATTTTAAGAATTAAATCACAGGCAAAGTCTGCACATCATACATTCAACTTGCACCAACATTCTCTGGTAACTGCAGAGAATTAAGTCTTACAGCAGGTGCAAGTCTTGCTTTCTGTTCAGCTGCTTTCTGAAAGAAGTACCTTTTTCTTTAGTAATTTTAGACAGTTCTGTGGGCTTCACAGTTACAACAGACCTTTTAAGATGTATGCAATGGACTGCATGCACAGCTGGCACGAGCTCCACTGGCTCCAGCAGAATTGCCAGCATCCTCTGGCTAAGGGGCTGATAAGCTTATCTCTGTCCCCAAACTTAGACTGACACAAGATGTACCGTAATCCATAGCTTATATTTTCAAATTTGAGATGGGGTAAGTGGTAAAAGACAATTAGCCTACCTTATTTTTTTTCTCCGTGCTGAAAGCAGCATTAAAATCTCCATTGCTGGCCTATCTGCGTAGTTAAGTACAGGAGATAGGTTCATTCAAGTGCTAAAAAAAGACTGGATGTAGAGTGCTATCAATTCAGTGCTTAGTGCTACAGGGCCAGTTTTAGATTTCATCTGCAACTCATGAATTATCTCTATGGTGTCAGTGTGACACAATGGCCTTTGACCCAGCACATCAGATTACAAAAGCCAAATGGTTGGTGACTCCTCTGTTCAACTATCAACGCTGTCTATGCTGGATACTTCTTCAGGTACAAGCAGAGCCAAGTCCTCCTCATTCCAGCTTGTGCACAGAAGCCAGCTGCAAGACACAGATAAGACAGATACTGTGAGCTGAGTAAAGCGTGATGATTCAGCAGTACAAACAAACCTGATAGTTCTGTTACAGCCATCTCCCTCAGCACAAAGCCATGGACATATCTTAATAAACAAAACCAATGATAGTATTTGTCCCTTATTAGACAAGTTAGGCAATATCATTTCTGCTGTGTGTGAAAAATACTAACTTAGCAGGCAGCCTGATGACAGACTGGAATTACTAACATTTCATCTCTCAAACAGTAACACTGTGTGACAATCTTTAGAGAGCTTTAGAGAGCGGTCATTCAAAGGATGGGACATCTGAGAAACTAATGATGGAAGAAAAACAGCTTTCCAAAATTTGTGATGATGATCGAGAATGGTTTTGATTGCAGGATGGAGTGATTTTGTAATTAATATTTGTTAGCTTTTGCTCACAAGAGAATGTTTTAACAGAAACTTTCTCTACCTTGCAGCACTGAACCAAATTAAAACTAAAACTCTACAGCCTAGGCTCCCTGCCTTCTGTGTTGTCCCCCACTGGAAAATTGTTATCACTGCTATATTCCCCAGTCTCAGCTCTGCCGTACTCCAAGCAGTTCCCTGCTGAAAAGCCTCAGAGTACCTGCCATAGGTTTGCTATATATAACTAGCTCCTAAATTGGATGAAAAACGAAGAAAGGGCTACACACAAAATACATCCTATGAGTTGCAAAACACTGGAGTTTGAGAATGCATAAAACCACCCGCTTCAATTCATATCAAAACAGAAACCACCAGTAAAAGCACTCAGAAGCACCTTCCTGATATGTACTTACCACAGTACGCCCAGTGGAATTAGACACAGGCTGGCTGACAAGAGGAAGCTAAAGCCTGAAAACCATGCAACTGTAGCTGCATAGATAACATTAAAGACTGAAAGTGAAATAGTGCCAGTCAAAATTTCTAAACAGGCAATACAAGCAAACACAGCACCTGCAAAATAACAAATTGGATTGGATTACAAACAAAATAAAACCAAAATGCTTTCAAAGTTTTTAAACTTGTTTCAAAAGATCTATCTGCAATATTTCAGCAAGTGTGCAAGTAACAAGCTCCTGAGTATCATATATCTTTGTTATGGAAGTGTCTTCCATGGGGACTCCTACAGAAGACTTTTTAAATGAAATTTTTCTGTTGTTGTTAGTGGAAACTACTTCTCTTTGCTATTATCCTGTCACCATATCTACTTTATTGGATCTATTTGTTACATGAAATTCAAGCTGTTCATACTCACTAACCACATTCTGCACAGCTTCATCCTTTAATCCTTTACCCTTTTCAATTCTCCCCTCTATTCTCAGTCTCCCCTTTCTTGTTTCCTCCTTGTCTAGTCTCCATTCTTACATGTGGAAAAGGCTCTGTGCAACAAAGAGCAACAAGGACTGCTGACTCAGTCCATAACCATACCCTTCTCATTTTTTAAATGAAAGAAACAATCTTTCACTGGCTCTGCACTACACACTGGGGTGTCAGCCTATCCCATCTGCATATTTTTGGACACATTTCCCCAAGCTGTGTTCATATTCATCAGACTGTAAACAAAATAACACTAGGCAAGCAGAAAAGGATGGCAAGAAGCAACCTGATTCCTGCATCAAACTACTCAAGTATCCAAAGCCACAAAAAACGCCAAGAAACAACAAAAACAGAAGCATTTCTTAGCATAGAACAGTACAAAGAGATCTTTGTTTCAGTGTCTAAAGATGTGTACTTTTTAAAATTAATACCAACTCACAAGAATTCTTCTAGACAATATGTGCTCCTCAAAATCTGGCTGCAGCAAAATATGAGACACATTTTGAGGCCTCACATGTTTGTGTGTGTGTGTATATGTGTGTTTTAAAGAAAGCACTTCTAGAAGTAATACGTTGCAGCCCTTGAGACACCTTTAAGTGGTCATGGGCATTTGTGAAGCTGGTACATTGCTCGGCATCCAAGCCTTTGTTTTCAAGTGTACTGAAGGCTGACCACTTAATGCTTATCTTTCTAAGTTACAAAGTGTGACACTGATGAAACAAGCGTTTATTTTCTCCATCAAAATCTTGTGAGTGTAGAAGCTGTTCTACACATTACGTTTACAAAAGGAACTGTAATATTGCATCTGCATCCCAGGGCTGGCTGATGTGGTTGCCAAGCTGCTCTCCATGTGTTTGAAGTCATGACTGACAGATGAAGACCCTGGTGACTGGAAAGAGAGAAACATCACTCCCATTTTCAAGAAAGGGAGAAAGGAAGATCTGTGGAACAACAGGCCAGTGAGCCTCAGCTCTGTGCCTGGGAACATGACAGAGCAGATCCTCCTGGAAGAGATATTAAGGCACATGAGGGACAAGAGGGTAATTGGAGACAACCAGCATGGCTTCACCAAGGGAAAGGCATGTCTGATCAAACTGGTGGCCTTCTGTTTTGAAGTGGTGGACAAAGGGAAGGCAACTGATGTCATCTACCTGGACTTGTGCAAGAACTTTGACATGGTCCCCCCCCACACCCTTACATCTAAATTGGAGAGATATGGGTACAAAGGGTGGACTATTTGGTGGATAAGGAATCAGTTGGAAGGTCACAACCTGAGGGTTGTGGTCAGTGGTTCTATGTTCAGGTGGAGGCCAGTGATGAGCAGTGTCCCCCAGGGGCCCATCTTGGAACCAGTACTCTTTAACATCAATGACAGATGATGGCATTGAGTACATCATCAGCAACTTTGCTGATGACACCAAGCTGAGCAGTGTAGTTGATATAGGAAGAGGAAGGGATGCTATCCAGAAAGACCTTGATAAACTTGAAAGGTGGGACCGTGTAAACCTAATGAGGTTTAACAAAGCCACATGCAAGGTGTTGCACTCAGTAATCTCAGGTAAGTATACAGACTAAGAGAAGAAATCCTTGAAAGCAGTCCTGCTGAGAAGGACTCAGGGGTCCTGATAGATGAAAAACATGAGCCAGCAGTGTGTGCTTGCAGCCCAGAAGGTCAATAGTGTCGTGGCTGCATCAACAGAGGGGTGGCCAGCAGGGAATAAGAGGTGACTGTCCCCTTCTATTCTGACCTCATGAGGCTCCATCTCTAGTAATGTGTCCAGGTCCAGGACCTTCAACTCAGGAAGGATGAGGAGCGTTTGGAAAGAGTCCAAAGGAGGACCATGAGGATGATCAGAGGGATGGAAAGCCTCTCCTATGAAGACAGGATGAGAAGCTGGGCTTGTTCAGTCTGAAGAAGAGAAAGCTCTGGGAAGATCTCATTATGGTCTTCCAAGACTTAAAGGCACAGAAAGACCACAAACAGGAGATAAATCAATTTTTTGCACAGGTAGATAGTGATAGGACAAGGAGGAATGGTTTTAAGTTAAAGGAGGGGAGATTTACATTAGATACTAGGAGGAACTTTTCCACAGATAGGGTGGTGAGATGCTGGAACAGGTTGCCCAGAGATGCTGCAGATGTCCCATCCCTGGAGGTCTAAGGGAGGGCCTGGGCAACCTGATCTAGAGCTTGACCTAGCAGCTGGCAACCCTGCCTGCAGCAGGGGGGTTGGAATTTGATGATCCTTGAGTTTCCTTCCAATCCAAGCCATTCTATGATTCTGTGATCTGTATAAGTATTGAACATTCTTCTGCTTCATATTCTCCATAATCTTTCTTTTTAGAGCAATAACTTCTTTCAAAGTTGAATCTTGCAGTAGAATCATAGAATCACCAAGACTGGAAAATACCTCTAAGATCATCCAGCAAGCAGTCTGAAAATACCAATATATATCTGTTTGTTTAAAGGTGACCTTGGTGTATCTCTCTTCTGAAATACAACATCATAGCATTTTTGAAAAACAAATTCCACTCACCCTGCTCACTGGGGAGAACCACTTTTGACAGCATGGATCGGAGAACAGGAATAGGCATAATGCAGAATAAAGATGGCACTCTTACTGTAAAGCAATGAATGAGACATCAATGTAATAGAAGTCCCAGATTTTACAGATACGTTGCAAATGAACTAGACATGTATTTCTGAGTGCTCAGTCTCCTAAATAGTAAAAGGCAATCAATCAATCAGTCAAACCAGGCGTACATTGAAACATAAGTATCCAAGCAGAGAGGAATCTCTAAATCCACTACATCTGTATAGCACCTAAAAGCAAATCATAAGCCAACATAAGCCAAATAATTTCATTCACTCTCCATACTATTTGTCTTTTAATTAAACCCTAAATCAGTATGACTGAACCTTGTATATTTTACCTCTTCGGTGTGGCGCATCCAATATCCACCACCACCACCAATCACTATAAATAACACCTAAGAATGTTCTTTTATATTGTTGAGAATTGACTTTGAACTCACCTAAAAACATGAGCAGGGTTGTTTTGGCAAAGGCAGCCATGACAATTCCTCCAATGTAAGAAAATATCCCAATAAATACAATGTAAATGTCTTTGAGACATTTAGAAAACAAGTAAACTCCCAAAAAACTGGTCAGAGAGACAGAAGTGAATGCAGCTGCTCCATATCCAATGTACACTTCAGTCCAGCACAGTGGCTCGTCCAGTTCATACAGTGTAAAAAGGGAACTCCCCCCAAACATAGTAAATAAATAAGTCATAAATATAAAAAGTAACACAATGATTAAAATTCTCTTTTTAGAAGGGGCAGTTTTAAAAAGCATGTACACTCCAGAAATTGTTTCTTTTAGATATTCTTTATAAGATAATGGTGCCTGTTGCTGGAATTCAGATATGTGCACTGTGTCTTCCAGAAAAAAAGTAATATAGATAATGTTAACAACATGAAGTAGAGATGCTGTCACAAATGTCCATGTAAAGCCCATTTCTCTTAAAAAGTACCCAGAAGACAGTCCTGCCAATCCAGATACAACTCCATAAATTAAATCAACCACAGCTATTCGTGTTGTTTTCTGTTTCTCATCATGACACTGATCTGCTATATAAGCAAAGCCTCCTCCAAGGAAAGTTGCCATACTCCCAAACAGTCCTGAAATAAATGTAACCAAAAACAGGACAGAGATTGGCAAGGAGAAGTATGATATTATAGTGAGGAAAATATCTGCAATCAAAGCTCCAGTCGATGGTAAAACCAAAGACTTTTTTCGTCCCTGGTGATCCCCATTAGCTACAATGATAAAAGCAACTATCAGGCTGGGAACTGCCCCTGTTAAGTCCAGCTGCATGTTAAAAAAAGAAGTCTTTTCTTGAACTCCCTGCAAAGAGAAAATCAGAAATAATGGTAAACATCATAATATATTGTAAAAAAAAAATATATATATATATATATATATGTATTTATATGATATATAATAATGCACTTTATATACTTATGCCATAATAAGCATGCAGCATAACATTTAGCATAAAACAGTATTATTATATATATAATATATATATTATAATATATTATTGCAAAATATACAATATCATCTTCCAAGATTATATGATCTCATCTAATACTGTATTATGCTGTAATCAAATACAGTACAGTATTATATATCATAATATATACATTATACCAGACAATAATACAAAGGAATTGCATTTTCAAAGACACGCTTTTGTAGTTCTGTTTCCAGTATCTCTCAAACATCCCTTGTTGCATTAGACCCCAGAACCAGAACTTATTTCTTAAGATATGCTCTCACAAGTACTCTTGACAGAGCAGTTTCAATGAAGACAAAGCAACAATTCTTTGCTACGTTCATTTACAAGAGCTGGTGTTTGTACTGTAGGCACCTCCTTCAATACAGGGCTGCCAAAGGATACTGGGCCCATTTTAATCCTTCAGAAATCATTAGTAGAACAATCTTTGATTGAGAAGCACAGCCCAAGCTCTCTACTCACAGGAGATCTTTTTTCCTCCCTAAATAATCCTGGTGGGAGGGTCACAAAGAAGCAATTCACTGACCAGCACATTCTGCAAGTGAATAGAGCAGCGTTGGCTGCTGACATCCCAGTGTGCAGTGTTATGAATAGTAACAGCACACAAATGTGAAATGGTATTAAAAATTATATTGACCCATGTGTATAGAATGTGAACTAACTCCTTACTGCCAAGCTCTGGGTTCAGAAACTGTCCAAATCAGTGATATCTCTGCTGATAAGCCACAGCAGGTTTCTCATAAGGAACAGTAGCTAATACTGTAAACAGCCATTATGGGAAAAAATGTCTTGGTTCATTTGAAAAGAAGTTTAAAAATCAAATACAGTTTATAGTTAATAGAATATTAATGGTTGTAAAGAAAAGAACTCAAAAGTTAATAGGAAAAAATATTTTGCACGTTTATGAAGCTGGCTGCTAAGTGATGGTGTGCAGCAAGCTGATTTGGATCTGGCTTTTAATAGATTTATGCAGACTGAAGAAACAGCAGTCCCAGCAGCCCTTTCAAAGGGAACAACCTGTCCAGATAAAAGAGCAGCAGCAGAGCAGGTGGTAGCTGCATTCACACAAACCCTTCCTACAGGATCATCTCACAAAATAGACTTTCAGACATAGAGCATAACTCTGAAGTCAGATCCCTGAGGCATCACACAGAGCTGGGCAGCAGCCCTGTCTATGGGCATGGCAGTGCAGCAGGAAGCCAGGCAACCTGGAGCATAAAGCTGTAGGAAAGGATTTAATGTGAGAGGAGAATGGCAGCAGGACTGGCAAGGGATGGGAAATTATTTGCTCTGAAAAGACAGTGCCAATGGGAAAGGAAGCAACTCAGCCCGCAGACGAACAGGCACAGCAAACAAAGTACAGCAAACAAAGCTCAGCAAACAAAGCTCAGGCAACTCCCGGGCAGTGAGTGGCTGCATTTGTAAAGCCTGAAAACACCTTTCTGCAACAGGCTGTGCTATTTGTGTCATTTATAACGCCTGCTGCAGGCATTGCTTCTTTACAAGTGTCGGGTTCTAAGTCAACGACAGAAAAGTACATAGGTAGTACACTGGAAATCAAACTAAATATTACTATGTATGTATGTTCTCTGTCTGCATTAAACATGCAATCCAGATGTTACTGCTGAAATACACAGATGTATGAACTTGGAAGAAACCAGCAAAGGTTTGGGTCTCATCATTTTGGAAGCAGGTGTACAACACAAGGAATGTGGCTATATATTCAGATTCCCTTCCAGTACCTAAAGGGAGCCTATAAACAGGAGGGGAGTCAACTCTTTGAAAGGGTAGATAACAGCAGGACAAGAGGAAACAGTTTTAAGTTGAAGGAGAGAAGATGTAGGTTGGATGTCGGGGGGAAATTCTTTCCTATGAGAGTGGTGAGGTGCTGCAACAGGCTGCCCAGAGAGGCTGTGGATGCCCCGTCCCTGGAGGTGTTCAAGGCCAGGTTGGATGGGCCCTGGGCAGTCTGGTCTAGTATTAAATGGGGAGGTTTGTGGCCTTGCATGTGGTGGGAGAGTTAGAGATTCATGATCCTTGAGGTCCCTTCCAACCCTGGCCATTCTGTGATTCTATGATATGATTCTATGACACCCCTATGACTGCAACCCTGCTGCCACAAATGAACTGCTGCCTGCTGACCAGACTACTAGAGAAGTACAGAAAAACTCAATTTAGAGTGAAAGCTCCCCTTTTTGTTGTCATAAACTCATCAGAAATGGATACAGAAAACAACTGGTCAAACCCTCAGCTGCTTTATAATCACGTAGCTACAAAGATGAGTAGAACTACACATGGTAGAAAACACTGGTCTAGCTTTCTAATCTGTGAATTTGCTCTACTCTGAGCTCAAAAACACAGATTACAAAAGAAATTAAAAGAATGACAGTGAAGAAATGATTCACATGCATATGGATCAAATTAAGAGGGAAGTCTTTTGCCTGAGGCTACAATGTAGAGCATACGACAAACAGGCTCACAAAATTACAAATATTACTGAGTGACAAAGGAAAATGCATATGCCCTGAACGATAAACAACGTTTAATTAATAATATAGCTCTTCCTGAGCTACAGAAAGGATTATTCAAGCCAGGGATCAGAATGCTTCAGCATGTATTTGAGTTACTTTGAAATTCATTTTAATTTATCGCAAAATTGCTATAATAAATGCAAATCCAAAGAAATAATTAATCCACATGCTGCCAAGACTATCCATTTTGAATGACAGTCTATTTTTTTTTTTTGTAGACCTCAAGTGATTTTGTCTTCAGTTTCTTTCTACATTTCAATTTGAAATAAATGAGATCAGTAAAAAGCTTCTCCATCCCCAGAACGGAAGGACTTACATTAAATCAACCTATAAAAGAGGTTTTCCTCTAAAAGTTGACACCAAACACCCCTGACAGTAAAATTTACTGTACCTATGTAAATAACTCAGAGTGGCCTTGGAAAATTCCTAACACTTATCATCAGCAAAGGGCCTGGGACTGTGTTACTGGATCTGCTCTTTTCACAATACACGGGGTTACAGCTCAGCACAGACACCAATGAAATTAAGAGGTGATTTTGAGTTCTACATCCATATACGATGGGAACGAGCACGGTACAAAAATACAGGCTGGACAGATAGACAACAGCATGACTGTTCAATAATTCATGGCCTGTGGGCTACCACCAAAACAGAGGGAATGGAACTTTGTCAAGAAAGGGAAACAAATTCTATTGGCCGTGACTCAGATAACATCTTGAAGACTCCTACTCTCAAATATCAAAACTTTTGTATATAGGAAACACAGTTGGCTTCCTTTACGCCACAAATCCTGTAGCTTGCAAATCCACTGTCACCTCAATCAATGCTGCTGTGTAAATTTCAGCACTCTGCTCCAGCGTTTTGCCAAAAGATACATCAGGTGTTAAATCTTGGAGCGTATGTGGTCACAAGTGGAAGATTAAGTTGTATTTGGGGGGTTTCTAGCAAATGTAAAGTACAGAAATGTTTGTGAAATGTAGGTTTTCTGATGGATTCTGTGACTGGAACTACCAAGAACCATATTTAATTTTAATAGTTGTCTTTTCCATTGACATATGACAGTGCACGACAAAATGCCCACAGTTACAAATGAAGAACTAATGATAAAGAAAAAAACAAGGCTTTGGGGGAGGAACACACAAACATATTTGTAACAATAATTGCTTATTATCTCCAGATCAGTTCCAATGGATGGCAGATATTACCTTCCTTGGCTGTCTGGGCAGCCCAGAATGCATTCTGGACTAGAATTCTATTTACCTCTTAATCTTCAAATTCTTCCTTCTCCTGCCCTATGAGGAAGAACCTACTTCACGCTAAAAATTCTTATTTTCAACAGAAGTACAAACCATTAAAGATTTTATTTTATACATGACAAATGAGGTTGATATGCTCCAGTATTCAGTCCTTCACATAAGCAGCTTGTCACAGATTCCAATCTTGGATGTGACCAAAATCTTCAAGTGCCACCTGTTTTACAGCTGCATCAAGTTGGCTTCCATTAACTTCATTTTCTGTGTAACTTAACCCCATTTTCTGCATAATTTACAGTCCAGGCATCTACTTTTCTCATTTTACCATGCAGAGTCAGGTTCCACTTAACCTAATCCAAGCTTCAGTTGCTGTTATCAAGGATGATTTTGCTGAACCTCTTCTGTAAATATATTCTTACTGCCATCCCCATGTTAGATACTGCAGTCACGTGACTACAGAGTATGTTAGAGGAATTCACTGCTTCAGAAAAACAGTTACAAACTAAATCAAAATTAAAAAAAAAGATGAGTCTTCTGTTGAACCAGCACTCTGATCTAATCCAAACTGTAACCTCTAACTGTAATAACTGCTGGATACAACACACTGGGGAAACAGTGGGAAGAGAGTGGAAAGAGACAGGAGGGAGGTGGTGGAGTCACAGCCCATGGAGCTGCTCAAGAAAAGAGTAGACCTGCCACTTAGGGACATGGTCAGTGGGCATGGTGGTGATGGGTTAATGGTTGGGCTAGATGATCTTAGTGGCCTTTTTCAACTTAATGACTCCATGATCTCTGAAAGCAAAAATGGAGCATGATCAACTCTTCTGCTGAAACCCCACATCAGTTCTGCTTATGTGTAGCATTAAAACTGCTCTGAAATACCACTGCAGAGGTTTAAATCAGCACCTAGCTACCCAGCATAACATGAAAAAGTGTAACAAATGGTACTGGCCATGGGATCATCACACCATCTTTGTAATTCAACAAGGCAGATGAGCACTGTTCTGTGAATGGTAAATCTGATGTTTTATATACATGGGGCAGTTGTCAAAGTGTATATACAAAGAACACTCCAAGTCATAGACACCACCAATAGTGCATAAACACATGGAAGGAGAGCCTGCAGCTGCACTCTTTGTTATGGGAGGCCAATGTCAACTTGGGCCCAATCCAAGATGATTTTCAACCAGTAAAAGACGATTAAAAGATAAGAGGATGAATTTATCTCAGCGTCTTCCTGGAGAAAATTCATAGAAGCATAGAACTGTTTGAGTTGGAAGGGACCCCTAAAGGCCATCTAATCCAATTCTCTGCAATGAACAGGGCCATCAAGAGCTAGATCAGGTGCTCACAGCCCCATCTTTGACCCTGAACGTCTGCAGGGATGGACTCCACGCACCAGAACTCTGGGCAACCTGTGCCAGTGCCTCACCACCCTTATTATAAAACCTTCTTCCTGACACACCTTCTATCCCCACAGACTTCTGTTCTCTGGAATGAGCAGCTCTGGCCTCTTTCAGCCTTTCATTGTCCTGAAAGCATGACAACTATGTGCAGTGCAACACCAGAGCAAGTGGGCAGCAAAGTGACAGCGGTTTAGGAAACTATTGCTTTTTCTACCTATAAAAGGTTAAATAAGGTAATAAAGAGGGGGGCTACGTTGCTCAGTACCTACAGGCTGAAGGTTTTACTGCCTGTATTTCCACTTGCTTTTTTTCCTTGCTCTTACCTTCTGCATGACATAAGTCGGGCTGCTCTTGTTTCGCTCACAGTGACTGCTGTTGTCGCTGCTGATGGCGGTGGAGTTGTACTCCTCTTCCCACAGCTTTCGGTAAATGAACTGCTGCACCACCGGGCTCGTCAGGGAAGTTGCGAATACGTAGACGAAAATGACCGGCTCCACGAGCAAAACCTTCCTCATTTCTGGATCCCGCCTTTAACTCGCTTCAGCACAGAAAAATAAAACGTCACAACGATCGCTCGGACGAAAGGAAGCCACCATCCAACCCGCAGGAGGAAGGACTGCGGCACCCGACCCCCCGCCCGCCCCAGCGCCGCCTCGTCCCTATCCCCGCCGGCCGCCCCTGCCCTCGGTCCGCAGCTCCCCGCCCCGTCCCCCCGGAGGTCACGCCGCGCCGTGTTTAAGTCCGCACTGCGCGACACCGAGCGGCGGGCGGCGAGGGCGGCTCTCCCCGCGGCGCGGTCCCGCCCCTCGGCCGGGAGGAAGGAGGCGGGCGGCGCGGCGCGGAGCGGCCGTGCTCGGCCCGGTGTTTGGTGCAGCTCTGCGCCCTGTTCCTCTTTGCGCCTTCCCATCTCTATCTGATTAAGGGCCGGAGAGATTCTGTAACGGCTTTTCACGCCCTTGGCAGGGTTTTGTTGCCGGCAGTTTGTCTCGTTTTCGCAGAATCCAGCGTGGTTGCTGCCAAGGGAAGGTGGGGCGGACTTTGTCTTGTGGCAGCGCTGCCCCGGCCCGTGCTTTGGCACCGCGCAAGAGGTGACGGTGGTGCAGATCTGCCGTTGTGCTGCTCAGCTGGGGCTGTACCCAGCCTGGTGAAGGACAGCACAGACTCCAGCTGCAGTGCTGCGCCCAGGCCTGGCAGTCGGGCACAAGAAGGGTACAGAGCTGCTGGAGCGGGTCCAGGGGGGCCAGGAGGGTGATCAGAGAGCTGGGGCACCTCTCCTGTGAAGACAGGCTCAAGGAGTGGGGCTGTTCAGCTTGGAGGATGGAAGGCTGTGGGGGGACCTCACTGCGGCCTTCCAGGACTTCAAGGGAGCTTATAAACAGGAGGGAGACTGACTTTTTACAGGGTCTGATAAGACAAGGGGAAATTGCTTTAAACTAAAAGACTGGAGATTTAGGTTGGATGTCAGGACAAAGTTATTCACTCAGATGGCGGTGAGGCCCTGGCACAGCTACCTGGAGAGCTGTGGGTGCCCCATCCCTGCAGGTGCTCAAGGCCAGGCTGGATGGGGCCCTGAGCTGCCTGAGCTGCTGGGAGGCATCCCTGTCCTCAGCAGGTGTTGGGGCTGGGTGGGCTGTAGGCTCCCTTCCAACACAAGTCATTTTGTGATCCCGTGATCCTAGGATTCTATGATGCTACATGCACAAAGGATGGAGCATGCCTTTGCATCAGAGCCATCACACTTCAGGGTGTGTTTCTTGTACAACCAACACATACACAGCAGAAGCCTCATTCCTGATAGCAGCTGCTTGCTGCAGTGCAGACACTACTTTCCCTTGCATTGGGGTGGGATGCTCTGGGACCGGCAGAGCAATACCCCTGCTCTCCTCGTACTCCTCCCTGTGCTGTGATCTTAAGACACAAAGAGATGATTTTAACTGCCACACAGGTGTGGAACAAGGACAGGAGACACAGTCAGAGAACAGAAGACAAAGGACCTCCTTTCAATCTTCGTACTCCTCATCAATCGCAGATTTTGCAGAAAACCTTATTATCTAAAAATAAAAAAGATTAAACTAATAATAATAACAAATTAAAGGTTCCCAAATGTAGTTATTCCCTTAAAGCAGGAAGCACTGTAATTCAATAACTTCACGAATTTTCAGTTCCTTCATAGGCTTGTTTAGCACCAGCAATGTGTGTCATATGATCTCAAAGGCTGAATGTGTTTCAGTACCGTGTGACACACATCAGTCAACCCCAAATTTGGGAGCCCCTATGGCCTGTCACCCCTCAGTACAGGATCAACACAAGGTTCAGTGGCAATGGTGAGCGTGTTTGGTGTGGCATATAGGCTTGCTGACAGACAGTAACACACAGTTCTGACCTGAGCTCAGCTCTACAGATTGTTGTCCTTCTCTCTCCATCCAGGTCCACAGTCCAGTTCATCCTGTAGCAGTATTTTGTCACAGGATAAATCAAAAGTGATCGCGTGGGCTGCAGGGTGAGCAGGGCAGTTCAGGTCACCTGGCCAGCTGGTAACATTGCTTTGGATGGGGTGAAGGAGGGATTTTAAGCCCATGGGAGCTTTCTGTTGTTCCACAGAAGGGGCTCAGAGCCCCGTCAGGTTTCTTGCTAGGTCCAGTTTGTCATTCACAGGCATGCATGGTGCAAGTATAACTCATTTTAGTGAGCAGTCTCTTTGGGATAGTCTTCCCAGTGCCAAAGAGGAGAGCCTCTCCCCAGTCACCAGGAGTCTTGGAGGACTGAAGAAGTGTGTGTACTCACTGGGGAGATCAAGTCTCCTAGGAGCACTTGCTAAGTTTTCTGTCAGACAATCTTAAAAACCAAACTATACCAGTGTTTGAGGGTGATATGTCACTTGGGTGTCATGGCATGGAAAACATTGCTATGAGGTTTTGAACCATTCTCATTTCAGGCAGAAATATGTGAGAGAGGTGCTTAATGAAGTTCAAAGTTTAGAACATTAGGAGCTGTTTCAGTGATCAGCACTGGTCAAAGGGCAAAAACAATTGGAGACAAAAGTTGTTACTGAAAGCCATCTGCACTTCAGGGAATTGTGCTTGGCTTCTGTGGCAGGATCCTGGCATTTGCTGGGGTGACACAGAATCACAGAATCACAGAATGGCCAGGGTTGGAAGGGACCTCTAGGATCATGAAACTCCAACCCCCCTGCCACATGCAGGGCCACCAGCCTCCTCATTTAATGCTAGACCAGGTCGCCCAGGGCCCCATCCAATCTGTCCTTGAACACCTCCAGGGACATTCCCAGATAATTTTGTTTCTGGAAAAAGAGGCATTTTTAATATTATATGTGTATTTCTCAAAATCAGTAATACAATAAATGTATTTTTTATGAAGTTCTTACAATGATAATTAATCTGGAAACATTTGATGGATTTGGATTAACTCATTTGTTGAACTTTTTTTTTGGCTGAAAAAAATTATTAGTGATTTAATAAATTGTACTGCCATTTAAAATGTGATTTTAATTGCCTTCTAAGAAGTTCAGTACTTCTTTAAATTAAGGTGGCTTTAATTTTCCACATCAACTACTTACAGAGACTGGAGAACCTCTATACATCATTTGCAGACTGCAGAATGACATTAAAGAGTACTGTCTAATACTCAGCTCATGTTTTCAAGGCTATCTTGAGCATACATGAAGAAAAAAGAGAAAAGAAAGAAAAAAAAAAGCACATTCTCTGCACAGTTCTATACAAAACTCAGCTCTGCAGATGCCTTGAATAACTTGCATCATGGCCAGCATGAGTGGAGATCTGTGGTGGAAGTTCTCCAAATAGTACCACTATGGAAAAGAAGAAGGGAATGAGCTTTGTGATTCTGCAGAGAAGTGTCTGGTTTTAGATACAACTGTTCTTTTTGTTTTCATTATAACACAGTTGACTGATGGAGCTTGAATGCAAGCCCTGACAACAGAGAGTTGTAATGGAAATTTAAATATCAGGCTGAAAGAAAACATGATAAGGAAAATTTGTGCAAAACACACATCTGAAATACCTCATTTTTGTTAAAAAAAAAAAAAAGGCAATGAAAGACTGTTATTACCATATCCAACCCAGAGGAAACCTGTGCCTGTTTCATATCACTAATTTTCATTCAGTGCAGATCATCACTAATTTTAAGAGTAAAGACCAAAAATTAGCATCTGCAATCTTTGACTTCTAGTGGTTCCTGCCACAGCAGCTGGTCCTGACCTGCAGCCCAAGTAGAGCAGAGGGGCTCCCACCTTCACCCCATCTCCTCCCATCGCCGGCTGGATCCATCCACACTGGGTTTGGGTTTTGTCTCCTCTGTCCCTGTAGGGTAACTTAAAAGCATAGGTGATCATAAATAACAACATTTTTGTCTTTATTTGCAGTCTAGAATATCTGAAACGATGTGATTCACGTGGTGAAGTTCACGTGGTGAACTTAAGGAGAAGATGGAAAGATAATATATGTGGGTAAGGACAGACTGCTGACAACCAAGGTGTTGTTCTGAACTCCTTTGTCACACACTGAGCACTAAGGCTGACCAGGGTTTCCACATCATACAGTTGCTATGTTGAAAAGTTGTACTTGTTTCAGTCCTCAGACACTGGTAAAACATTGAGATATATTTGTTGTATCTGAATCAGATGGTCTTAGCAGAACCGGTGTTCTTTCTAGCCTCTCATCTGTGCACACCAAAGAAGAGCAGCCATCTCCAAACTGTGGTTTAATCAGTATTTTTGTGTCTCAGTAACTTCCCCTTTCACATTCAAGTCCTTAGTGCTTATCGCTGATTATGCCATACCTCAGATTTAGGTTTTGGTTTTCAAAGCCCTTCACTCCAGAGGCTTTTTAGTTTAGTTAACTCAGTACAGAGGATCCTGGGTTCAGGCGTGGTGTGTGTGGATGGCTCCTTTCTGGTTTCCTCCAGTCCAAAGCAAAGCTGCATGGTGCTATGAAGCTATAGGGAGCTTCCTGGTACCTCAGTGCTTTCAAATTGCAGCTTCTTGAGTCTGCTTGTGGTTTGTTTGTTTGTTTGTCTTCCTATGTTGTGTTCAGTGACATTGCCTAGACATACAGTTCCTTTTCACTGTAAATACGTAAGTTGCGTAATACAGAATTTCTCCATTTCAACACCATCTTACTGTGCAAAACCACATTTAAAAATAAACAGTGTTAGTGCTGTCCTGTGTGTCACTCCACGTCCCCTCTCTGCTAAGCAGTTTATTGGGTGAGGATGATCAGCAGCTGGTGGTGTTCCTGCTTAGCATGAATCAGCAAAGTGAGTCACTCCGGGCTTTATTCCATTTCACCTATTTGCAGAAATGGACATCATGCTTGCAAGAATCTTTAAATCTGCAATACTGGGTCTCTTTCCCTTTCTTCTTTTCTTTATTATTATTTTTTTAACATGTAAACAGTGCCAACAATACCTTAAAACGAGGAACTGAAAGTAGGCAGTTGAAGCAAGGTTGCAGTTTGTGCAGCTGAGTCACCCATGTGCTGCAAAAGGCCATTAAATTTTATCTGTCCTTGTCAAAACATATTCTAAGTTACCTTTGAGTTGTTGTTTCCTGATGTAAGCAGAGACTGATAAAGGAGAATGCCTCAGAGGTCTTCATCTCCCATACTTCACAGGTATTCCAACTTGCTAGAGAAAAGTGTTTTTCACTCCTAGCAAAGCTGTGGGACTGGCCAGCTGCATTCCCTCTTCATAGAAAAGGCCTTATCCTCTGCCATCCCCCTCAAGAAAGGCACAGAAATCCAGTCTTAGCCATCGTAAGAAGTGAATT